CCAATAAGAAACTCCCAACCAAACCATGAGCGAGGATGAAAAATGACCTCGTTGCACACGCGGAATACGGTTGCTCGCTTCTTCACTACTGTGTGCGTACACCTTATCATTTTGTTTGTTGTAGCTCTCTTCTACGGTAAAAATTTTTTCATCCGAAATAAGGAATTTCAAGACCGTTTCAACAAAGCGCGGCATCTCTTCAGTGTCAGATCCATTAGACGAGCATTCAAACGATGTCCTGTTTTTCTTCGATATGCCCGAAGCCCTAAGTCTTCATTTAACACCCTATTCACCGTGGTTCTTCTGCTTCATCTGAAGGGTGAACAGTTTCTGCTTACGTTTGGGCTTTCTTTGAATTCGCGTCTTCACAACTTTTATCTCTGCTGGAGTCCTAACAGACCGAGGGCGACCACTTCTTGATCTGTCATCTACACTAGAGTCTTCATTGTATCGTTTGATAGTACGATAAACGAATCTTTTGGTTATATTAAAATTTTTCAGTATGTCAAAAATTTGAATTGGCGCGTAACCGCAACGATGCAACGCAATAACTGCAACATGGTCTTCCTTAAGCGTCCACTCCATATTTAAAAATGAGCAAAATTCTAAACAGTATACTTATTTTCATGAACTATTCGAAATTCTAATTCAATAAACTTTTTCGTGGCCAGCATTCTAAAAGAAAAGTTTTTACTATGTGACAATACTTATGACCTGACTGTGTATATATATATATATATATTTAAGTACTATGTATATGCCTTTGTGGCACAAGAGACCAAACACGTGGACTGATTTTGATGAATCATAAGTCAATCGATTCGTGATCGAATTGTAACTATAGTGTACAACATGATAGTAATCGAAATTCAATATGGGGACAAATAAGCAAATTATATCAAAAACTCAGGTCTACTGTCCCTTGAAGCTGTGTAAAAAATCAAAATTCTAAGCCAACTCAATCAAAAGATACAGTCGTTGTGCCGCAATTTTTTTTAACTCGCTTGGGAATCAAAACCTGCGGGGTACTTACTGATCGTGAACTTAGAATCTTGAAATTTGGTACGAGGCAACGTCTTATGGCACAGATGAAGGAAAAATGGTGAAAACCGTAATTTTTTGATAAAGATTATTTTTTAAATAATTAAATATACCTACAGATATGAACGAAACCCTCGGTGCGCTAGTCCTACTCGCACTTGGCCGGTTTTTTCGGTTTGAGGTACCTTTAGGATCTGGCCGTGCCCAAACCCGGTCACAGATTACTTAATAGTTAGTACGTAAACGCGGTGACGCTATAAAGGCGGCGGCCAACAGCATACACACTCAAAAAAAATGAAAATAAAATAGGCTACTCGAAATATCTAATCTTATACGAAGTTGAGGGCAGTAGCTAGTACTTATAATAAAACTGTGATTAAGTTCTTGCTTCTTTAACTAACTTATTATGTATTTATTAAACACTCAAAATTTTACTGCTTTAAAGTTTATTTTAACGATGTTACTTCATGTTACTAAAGCGTCACTTATCATAATGAGAAATAACCTATTATTCGTTAGTAGCTACCATAGATAAGAAGCGAGACCAATCATTCATCTATGGTAGCTACATACTTAATTAATGGACTCTCTGTCTTTATTAATAAGCTCGCGTTAATGTTGATATTGTAATCTCACTGATATTATAAAGGCGAAAGTTTGTGAGTGTGTGAGTGTGTATGTTTGTTACTTCTTCACGTCTAAACGGCTGGAGCGATTTCAATAAAATTTGGTATGGAGTTAGCTGACACCCTAGATTAACACATAGGCTACTTTTATCCCGAAAAAATTCTAGGTTCCAGAGGGATTTTCAAGAAACTAAGTTAAAGCAGACGAAGTCGCGGGCGACCTCTAGTTAATTATAAATTATAATTCTGTAAAATTTTAAAGCAAATAATAAAAAGTTTCATACGTAAATTAAATTACTTATTTAATAGTTGCGTTATAACGGTGTGTATAGTTTTATGACTAAATGGTGCTAACCGAAATGTCAATGTTAAATTTTGTATGGAAACTTGAACAGCAGCGGCACAAAGTACGTAACGAGAACTAAAAATCGGTACACATTTGACAATGACATTTCGGACTCGCAAACGATACGAATTCGATATTGGTTCGTGCTAGGGGTACTGTACCATACCATCTACATACCACCTGTAGAAATGTCAATGTCAAATTTAGTATGGAAACTTGAACAGCAGCAGCACAAAGTACGTAACGTAGTACGTAACGAGAACTAAAAATCGGTCAATGTCAAATTTTGTATGGCAACTTGAACAGCAGCGGCACAAAGTACGTAACGAGAACTAAAAATCGGTACACATTTGACAATGACATTTCGGACTCGCATACGAATTCGGTATTGGTTCGTGCTAGGGGTACTGGTATATTATGAGATGCACAAGTACCGTAGTAGTAAGTAGTAATAAGACCTAGAGTTGCGTTAAAATGGTAATTGTTTGATCGATATCCCAATAAATTATAACAATATTAAATATAGCTTTAAGACACCGCATGCATTTGTTAATAACGTTGAACTAGTTAGTAAAAACATGTTAGGCAACAGCATTAGAGAAAAATAAATAAAGGAAACATTTTTAAAAAACAAATTTGTATTGTTTGTTAATAAAAAGAATATGCCATTTTACAAATCCATTATATCCCTCTTTTAAATAAAAGCGCGTTACACCCTTTTCATTTCTCTTGCAAACAAAATGTTACACGTTTTTATTTAAAAAAATGGATATAATATACCTGTAAAATGGTTTAATTCTTATCAGACTTAAATTGGTAGTCGTAAATGATTTGCAAATTTTCAAGCGGAGAAGTACAGTCGAATTCAGTAAAAATTGCAGTCTTGTCGTATCACTTTTAGACGGACTTGGGACAATAATAAACCAATATATTTGGTGCCCCTCTACAATAGTAACTTTCTTTGTTAAAGCCAATAACTTCGTAGATTCATGTTTTAATTTTACAAGGTAGGAGCTTAATGATTATCATTGAACTTTGTATTATTAGAATTTATAAATTTAAAGGGGCATTTTTATGGGTACAATTTGAGGTCGGGCAGCTCGGCCAGAGCCTGAAGACTTACTATCGACCTACTATTTCATTACATGTATAGATTATTCTAAAGGTTTTATCCAAAGTTTTTTATTTATTACAGAAGTTGCGCTTCCAACCAGTATGCGACATGGCAATAATACAAGGAGTAAAAATTTCTCCAGGGCTTAAAATAAAATATACGAGTAAGACCTGCCATTTGCCTGCCATATTGTACGTGTAGTTTGTTTGACATTGCAATACGTGGAGGTCACGTCAATCGTAACAACGAGGAATTAAATGACCTACTACGATAAGGAAAGGCCGGTAGTGCCACACTCTCGATTCTCATGGTTGGTTTACACATGACTACGTATCAGCTGATACGCATCTATTACCTTTCTAAAAGCAGGACCTTTAGAACGCTAAATCATTACACTTTTTTTAGCAGTTTCGTATATATAGGTGAAGATTCAGGGATCAGGGTTTGTCAGGGGGGTCATGGGGGGAGGCGGGGCTCGAAGGAAAGTTGAACTCGTGACTCATGAAATGACGTCACATAACGTGACATGACGTCACACTTAATAGTGCGTGCAGCTGGTGTTAATCGATTTCTAAGCCGTTATCACGTCAAAAATGTAAATACCTACTATAAACTTTAACAAATATAATAAATATATACATATAATAAACATAAACTTTAAACTATAAATTAATCTATGAACAAAATTATAAGAGAAATTCTTGAATAAAATGTAATACATACTTTAAAAATAAGTTCTTTTAAACAAGCCGTTAAGCTTGAATCCAAGTCGGTTGGAAATGTTTCTGTCTTAAATATCAACGATTGATGAACCGTATTTCAATAATAAATTTGCAGACCCGCAAGCGTTACTGGTTGAGTCCATTGATTGATGACACTAATCTTAAGTGGCAGCCACATTTATGGAGGATGATTCCATATATATATATATATATATGCTACATCAAAACAAAACAGTAAATAAGTCAAACTGTAATTAATATAATTAAAGTTACATTAAACAGAGCATTATATTGGCAGTTAAAGGTGTATTTTTAAAACCTTTTTTTTAATGTTGAGAAAATGCGTGCCTCATACCCGCCACCACCACCATACCACTCAGCCAGCCCATAGGACTGGCACAGTGCTTGCTCGGAATCCTACCCACTAAAAACCCAACAGTGTATCGTGGGACCCTGATGACTCTCCACGTAATTATTATATCGCCATACCAAATTTTTTTTTTTTTAAAATCACACATCATTTGGGTAATACATATCTACGGATTCTAAATTATGCTATCAACTGAAATCACGATGCTAACTACCCCTTCTTCATAAAACTACCTGAAATATAGCAATAGTTTGTACTTACATAAATTTTATTTAGATTATGAGATCAAAAATTAATCATGGTCTTTGAAAATGCTTTTAAACTCTTGAAAAACCTTTCCTGGAGATAATTCATTCACACAGGAAAATAATCGAATAATTTTGATTATACAATATAGAAGATCGTAATATTATCATTACGTCTTTCTACTTGTCTGTTTGGCCATGGCCACATGAAAGATTGTCATGGTGTAAGGTGATACAGCGTTTTGTTTAGGTATTTTACGGAGATCGTCAATAACTTCCAAGAATCGGACCCGGGATCTTTGGGAGCGAAAGGAAGCAGCTCTTGCTAGGCACAAACCAGTCATCTTATCAGCTAGCGTAATCTTTGCCGTAGACATTTATCTAAGCAGATCTAGCTTTATATCCCATTTAATGTCATGCAATTTAAGTAGAATTTTGTCTGGGAATACCTAATCTTTATTTCTTATTTAATTTCCGGGAAGTGTAATAAACTTTTGCCTTATGAGATTTAGCTTTTATTTCCCATTTAATTTCAGGGAGGGGAACCACCCAGACGACTACAGCCGGGTGACTTACCGTAAGCTGATGGACCAAGTGTGTCAGTTCGCGAACGCGCTTAGGGACTGCGGCGTGGGCAAGGGAGACCGAGTCTCCATATACATGCCCATGATCCTGGAGACAGTGGTCTGCATGCTCGCCTGCGCCAGAATCGGCGCCATTCATTCCGTCGTAGTAAGTTGAATATTTTTTTTATCTAGGTAAACGAGCTAGCATCCCCCCTGCCGGTAAGAGGTCACTGTCGCCCATGAACACTTGCAGCATCAGGTGGAAAAAACGATTCATTCTAACATGGGAAAACACTAAGTAATAAACACAATGAGAAATTTTATTTCATGCAAACAGATATAATTCGTCCAACTTCTTTGTCTTTTTAGCTGTCATGGACAACGACGGACGGACGTGTAATGCATAATATAATTAACAATCATTTTAATCTTGCGTCTTATATAAAAATGTGCCTCGTTCTTCAGCAATTTCAAAAAGAAATGCTAAGTTGTATTTTTGGTAATTCTAGTATTAAGTCAGTGATGTTATGACCTTCGATGGCTTTTGTAGTACGCTGTTTTCCTTATTTATTAACAAATAGATTTTTTTGTTAACAAATAGAAGCATTGCAAGTATATTGATATATATATTGATGCCGTAGACTTTCAAAATAAATTTATTATCATTAATATGTATTTTCTTCATATAACTGTACTACATCTGGCGAAATGAGATCCGTCCCTTTGTGAATCCGACTAAGTGCGAACACATGATGTAAAATACTACTATACTGGCATTAAAAAGAGGATACTACCTCAGTTTTATGCCAACATGAGCATAAAACTTGGTTGAGCCTAGTCTTTTAAGGAAACCGACAGTGGGTCTGTTCCTCTTAAACGCGCTACTGAGATGCCTGCCTCAGGGACAATCTGGGGTGCACGGCGGTCGGCCCAATATCGGCTTGTCTCTACACACATGCCTGCTATTCAGTGTTCGGGCGTATGTTGAGCTAAACACACGCGTTGATGATGGTCCCAGTGTTATCAAAAAATGTGTTACCGTAAAAAAGGAAAAACTGGGTGAAGAATTGGCAACAGAAAGAAATGTATTGTAAATAAGTAATGTTTATGATTAGAAAAAAATCCACGCGGAACTGGCAGCAGATGGGACTAGAACCCACAGACTTCGCTATCCGGGCAAATGCACTGATCAATTATGCTACCGCGGCCCTGACGGCCGTATCGAATTCTTTCTAGCCTTTCTTGAGCTGCAAGGCAGCGCCATCTCTTCGCATTATATGTAACTCACAATGTCAATACCTTTACAAGTATTTAACATATAAAAGCAGAAATAGCAATTAAAGTCATAATTTTTATTTTTTAAGCATGTAACTGCTCAATGTTTGAATCTAAAGAAAATATTACAAGAAATAAATTATAAAAAAACTATTTCTATTTTTCTAGTAATATTTTCTTTAGATTTAAACATCGAGCAGTCACATACTTAAAAAATGAAAATTAATTAAAAAGAAAATGGGTGCGTGTACTTATGTAGGCGCGTGAGAAGTTATCCTTCTTTGGCATCGTTTAAAATTAGTTTTTAATTGCATGCAAATAATTAATTACAATAAATTAATAAAAAGTCTGGAAAAGGACACAGTCAATAAAGTTCAGTTTTAATTTGAAAAAATAAATAAATAATCAAAATATTCAATTAAAATCGCTACTGAATATAATTTATTATAACATATGTGATTTGCACTTGTATGAAACTCAAACACGTATTCCGAATATACAAACTAGAAACATGTGGATATATAATATAAATATGAATACCTATAACTGTTACTTTATTACAAAAAATAAAGATGTGGTTTTTGGTTCTACTACACCAATGGTCAAGAGATGGCGCTGTAGTCTCCTGAATCGCGCTTTGGTTCCGTTGTTCCAGATTAATAAATACTTTTGATAGGCCTTCACAATGCAGTCGTTAGCACCCACTAAATAGAGATTCTATTTCTTCATTATGTTAAAATTTTGTGTTACAGTGATGCGCGCGCATCTTAAAACAACTCTCATCATTTTTTCATAACGCGCCTAAAGAAGTATAACTTCAAAAATATATAAATAATGTTTGTTTTTTTTATCCCACATGTGGGGCCGGTCTTTATATACTTCGATCACTAGTGTCCAAACTTCATGCTCATTATGATCTGCCGCCATCTTGTTCGAAATACATGCGCTGCATGTGACAGCTACTAACCGACTGATTGAGAAATTTGCCCAATCGCGCTACACACGCGGCAACGTGCAGGGCGGTTGGGACAATCTAGTGACCAAGGGTGGTCGCGCGCTCCTGCCGCCCTGCTTTTCCCAATTTGCCTACACACATTAAAATTGTCCCAATTTGCCTACACACATCACAATTCAGGAGGCAATTTAGGGTCATCCCCACTCTTACACCCTAGATTGTCCCTGCGGCAGGCAAGTCAGTAGGCGCTTTTATCAGCAGCATTGGTGTGTCTAGATCACGGAAAAAATAAAAGATAGGTTTATTTTGAATAACCAATAAGTTATAAAAATCATTGAAATATAGGTTCGTGATCTATCCAAAATAACGATATTCCGTTAAATGTGTTTAGGGAGATCTTATTGGGTTGTCAGCGAACTGTCATCTAGCATGAATAGGAACAAATAATTTTTTTTTGGAAGGACTCCAGCCTCAAGTTTTGAAACTAGGAAAAAGGCAGACTTATTTTGACATCGCGTGCCTTTTAGTCTCGACCGCACTATATAGGCTGCATGTATCGTAATACTGTATCACCTTATGTATTATTAAAATCAATGTAACGTACCTATCGGCACATGTTCACCGTAACCATATCACGTAGGTTTCGAAACAATCCTTTGTAGCATACACCTAATGGCTACCTTCAAGGGAACAATATTTGCGATTTTGTTGTTAGCATTGCTATAGGATTTACCTCAGATTTTCCGTAATCTGGGGTATTTACCATTATATTTCGCTTTCGCATTATATTGTCGCCGTGGTGACATAGGCTTTTGGGTATTAAAAATATAGTGTCATCAAGCATACAATCGATTGTTTTTTTGTTTTGCTAACGTAACTACAAAAAACAAAACAATCTATTTGAGCTGTTCAATATCTCAGTTCGCAGGATTCTCTTCAGATTCGCTAGCGGAGCGAATGTCGGACTGCAAGGCAAAGGTGTTGGTGACGGCTGACGGTGGGTGGCGCGGTGAGAAACTGCTGGTCCTGAAGAACATCTGCGACGAGGCGATGCAGAAGGCGAAGAGCAAGCACAAGCACGAGGTGCCGCTGTGCATCGTCGTATCGCACCTGTCTCGCGTCACGCCCTGCGGCGACTTACCCGATGATGTCAGTGCATTGGTAAGTACCGCTTTATACTCAGACAAAAGATGGTGCTTGGCGCAGCGAGAAACTCCTGGTATTGAAGAACATCAGTGACTAGACGAAGCAAAAGGCGAAAACCAAGCACAAGCACGAGGTGCCGCTGTGCATCGTTGTATCGCACCTTCGCACCTAGCTCACGTCACACCCTGCGGCGACTTACCCGATGATGTCAGTACATTGATAAGTACCTAAATCGTTCTGAGGTTGTATATTTAACTAGCAGATAATGTGCTGCTACGCAAGCAACAGGAAAATTAGACCTCATCAAAAGGTGACGACCTTTTGAATGCTTCATTTCAATGCTTCATTTAAATAAAAATTAAAAGTAAATAATTAATGTAACACAGGAATCCAACGGGATTAGTAACTGTGATCCATTGCACTTTCTATAATGACTAAAAATTTTTAAAGAAACATTTATTAAATGAAAACCAAATAAAATTGAAAAAACATACAAAAATAAAATTATTAAAAATGTTGTTAATGTTGTGTATCTGCAGGTAAATTGAGGTAACGCGAATAAGGCATTACAATTTTTTTACAATTACAATTTTTGAAAAAAGTCTAAAGGAATATCTTATTAATAAATCCTATTATAATTTAATAGAGTTTTTTCAAGAACAAACATATTTGATATATAATTTTAATGAAGTAATAATTAAAACTTATTTAATTTCATGACATACTTACCTCTATATTATATTAAAAATTCTGAGTGTGAAAATTGTATATTAATACTAGCTGACCCAGCGAACTTTGTACCGCCATAAAAAAAACTAAAAAAATATCTAAAATTGAAAAAAAAAATTAGGTGTGGATTACCCTTAACATTTAGGGGGATGAAAAATAGATGTTGTCCGATTCTCAGACCTACCCAATATGCACACAAAATTTCATGAGAATCGGGAAAGCCGTTTCGGACGAACTTCGTACCGCCATAAAAAATAGGGGTTGGTGGTAGAAGGGTGACAATTTAGAGTTATATGTATTTACTAATGCTGTATCATAAAAAAATTAAAAAAATATATATATATCTAAAATTGAAAAAAAAATTTAGGGGTGGATTACCCTTAACATTTAGGGGGATGACAAATAGATTACATCCGATTCTCAGACCTACTGAATATGCATATAAAATTTCACGAAAATCGGTCGAGCCGTTTCGGAGGAGTTTAACCACAAACACCGCGACACGAGAATTTTATATATTAGATCTATAGTTTTTAAATTGTAGAATATATGTATTTTTTAATTTTAATTTTGGTAAGATGCATGTATAATAATTGAATTGATTTTTTTTTATAATATATTTAATAGTTTATTTAAATAATAATAATAAATTGAGTAAAATTGCAACGCCCTTACAGGGCGTCACATATTTGTACAACTTATATAGTTGTTTTTTGTACTATCTGTGGCATGCAATAAAGAATAAAGGCTTTGTATCGGTAATAAAATTTCAAATAATATGTTTTGAAACAACATCAATTCTCTTATTCGTTTATGTTGGGCTATTAGTTCAGCTCCTATGTTTCAATAAATTAAATATCCGTTAAGGTAGGGAAATCCAACTATTAGTCATTACGAAAACCCTGAGCCGCGAATAATAAACTCTCGTAAGTGCGATCGAGAAAATTTAAATTTGTTTGCTGACCAACAATAATTACACGTAGGTACAATCATTGTAGCCGACAATTCATTTAACGACACTGCATGAAATTAAACAGCGAGGATAAAAGGGTCCTTTCTGAGTTTCTTGCCGGTTCTTCTCAGTACAAGGTCTCCCACCGTAGATTCGAACCGATTGCATAGAATTGACGTTCACAAGAGTTTGTAACAACCTAGCTAGACTGAATGAATTATTATGAATTTGAATCTACATATTTCTAACATCAACAAAAGTTATATCTATGCCTTATCGAAGCTATAGCCATCATTTGTCTCCCCGTTCCAAACTTTATATCGGGGCAACGTACCCAGAGTAATACTAGATGTCCGGACTTCGTGGTGTGGAAAAATTGATACCCCTTACAAATTTTCATACACTATTTCGCCCCCACCAGTTTTTCTTTTGTGCTAGTATTAAGCAGTTTAAAGTTACTTCCATACCGAAATTCGTCAAAACCAGTTTAGGAGTTCTAGCGTGAAAGATTAACAAAGTAGTATACAAATAGTTTGTTATTTCTGTGGCCTACATTAAAAAAACACCGGTTTTCATGGCGTCGTCATCAAATAAGGACCCAGTACCAGAATTTTCCTAGATCGTGTTAATGTAGAAAAAACGTACATTTCTCCTGCGCCTCAGGTCTTGGTTTCATTTATTATAACAAAACTGCTTTATTTACTGACCTTGAGTTCAGAACAAACAACAACTCATATAGTTATTATTACGTTTTCTCTTCAAAACTTTTCGATGAGTCGTTCATAATCTTATCTCAACATTAAATCTTGTTTTACCTCATCATCTGTCGAACTAAAAAACTAGAGAAGAGACTATTGAGTCTCTTTATCTTTGAAGTGTTCTTTTCGGCTTTAGTTTAAGTAAATGATGATGATGAAGCGAAGCATGATGAATAACTATTTTCAGTGGAAGTATCTCAATAGGTGATAGTTTAAATTAAATAAAAAACATCCCTTTATGAATTGATCATGGAGCAGCGTCCTGTTATGGCCGCTGCTTTTGATATAGATACTACTAATAACCTACATTACATGTCCCAATTAGAGTAACTTGTATTATGATGAAATTAAAAATATAACTTTCATCACAAAACCGCAAAAATTAAAGAAAGATCTTTCACAAAATATCTTTGCAAGAAGCGAGACTCAAATTCTTTTCAAAAGGATCCATTATTTTCTCCATATAACTCTGCCCAATTTTGTACCTCAAGTATTATCATGCATATATGTGTAAAAATATACGCCGAATTTATCAAAAATATAAATGGAGTTTATTGTACACTAGTACCACATAAAAATGTCGTTTAAATATTTAAATTAATTGCAACACAGATAATATATTATGTTAAAGGCATTTGTCTGTGGGTAAAATGAATAATAATTAGCTATGGAAATTATGTGATTTCTATTACAAACAATCACAGTCAAGGAAAAAAATTTAAACCAATAGTATTAGCTGTTATCTGTCAGTCAATGACGTTTTAGTAATAACGTTTCTTTACACGCAGATTCCATATTTTAATTTAGATTTTCAACAATTTTTACTGAATTTAATGTGATTTTAATGAGTGAGTCTTTTTAAGTATAATTTTAGATGTTTTTTGAGATAATTTGTACCTAGGTACAAAATTGGGCAAAAATCAAAGGTGCCCTTTGTGTCCCGTTCTATCAAGAACAAAATTATTACCTAGCAGGTTTTGTTTTGCGAGGTCAGAAGTTTGATTTAATCACCGCTCCTAAAGGGATTGTAGACCTGAGTATTCTCGATACCGAGTACTGAGGAATGAGGTCTTGACAACAAAATGAACCGTTAATATTTGAACCCCAAAACTAAAATAAATGAGCATTGTTTGTTTATTTTTAGTACGGATGGGACGACGATAGAGATGTGTGGTGGCAAGACATTGTGGAAGGACAATCTACTATCTGCCCACCAGAATGGATGGAGGCCGAAGATCCACTGTTCATGTTGTATACTAGGTTTGTACTAGTAAAGTCTCCAGCGCGTGTTTTGACCAACGCAATCAATAAAAACATATCAACATTCAACAAAATCGTCTACGCAAAACTTTGTTTCACTACACATGTTTATTTGCATCAACAATGTTTATGCTTTCCAAACCTACGCTCCGACTGTGACTTTTCACTCTGACGTTTCAATTTTGACATAAAATGTACGAAACTTTGTCAAATTTGACATTGTTGCATCTGGATCATAGTTTTCGCACGTAACCCTGTGTATTTTTTGTACGACAGCCACATGAGCAGTAGACAACGTGTGGAGAGAAACATGTTTCAGAAACAAAATGTTGTGTATGTGTTTTTGTTGAATGTTTTCAAAAGCTTATGCTTAGACCCCGGCTTTATAGAGCTATGTGCGATTCAAACTTATAGCAACTGTGAAGTTTATTTTTATGTTATAAGTGTGGCAAACAAGCATATGGCCCGCCTGATGATAAGCGGCCACCATAGCCAGTGACGTCATTGACCTATTGGAGGCCCTGGGCATATTAGGATAAAGGGCCCCCTATGACCCCTGTTTGGTTGTCTAACAGGAACTAAGAACTTTGTATTTGATCTGAAGTGGGCCCCTATCGATCGCGGGGCCCTGGGCACTTGCCCAAAGTGCCTACTGGGAAAGAGGGGTCTGACCATAACCTATAGACGCTTGCTGTACAAAAAATATCACTTGCGCCGTTGCCTATGCTGACCCAATCCCCTACCCCATGGAGCCCTGTTTGGTTGTCTAACAGGAACTAAGAACTTTGTATTTGATCTGAAGTGGGCCCCTATCGATCGCGGGGCCCTGGGCACATGCCCAAAGTGCCCACTGGGAAAGAGGGGTCTGACCATAACCTATAGACGCTTGCTGTACAAAAAATATCACTTGCGCCGTTGCCTATGCTGACCTAATCCCCTACCCCATGGAGCCCTGGAAGCTTACTCACCGACAGAAACACAACACCACCAAAAGATAGTATTATTTCACTTTGGTCCTCGGTCAGGTGGTGGTTTCTTCTCTACTTAGTTTACTGATTTTCTTACTTGTATTATTTCCTTTTATGTACCCACGAAAAAAATGACCCAGATGTTATAGTTGTCCGGAACAATTACGTTTAACATACTTTATGATCATAATATCTTAACATTCCAGTGGTTAATAGTATATCACGGAACAATTAATCATGATAGGTATATCCGGTTTTTTGTTCACCGTTTAAGTTTTATTATTAATCTATCTGACCTTCACTTTCCTTGACTCATACACGGTGTCTTTAAGAATGTCGCTCCAACTTCAACTGTAATACAACTCGGCAATTTTTTTTGCGCATACGATAAGTCACGAGTAGGTACCATGAAAATTAGGTTTTCTTCCTTTCGAGTCTTCGAAAGAGCTAAGAAAGTTATACGCCATGAGATATATATTGTAAGTATAGCTACTTACTTCATACGGTATTTGTTAGACTTTTTGTCATACTGACAAATAAAGCCGTTAGTGAATTTTTTAAGGTATATTTCACTTTTCAAATCATAAAATGACTTTTTACTCCATGAAACTAAAAGTAGACAATGGAGTATGAAACTTTTGAATTACCTAATTTGTCAGTTTTGTATGGAATGCACATAAAACATACCACTTAAATGGAAAAACAAGATACTTATGTGATGTTTTATATTTTAGAACAAAAGTGAAGCCACAAGTATTCCGACTCACGCCATGCTCGTTCTCGAACGGCTAATAAAGTAATGCATGTACTTTTCTGTAATGTTCTTGTAAGTAGGTGGTTATCAAACAATATGATGAATTAGGGATGCAACGAAACCTTTATTACGATACCAATATGAATGTCGAATACATCGTAATGGCCTAATACGATAACGAATTACGATTTCTGTTTTATAGCATTTATTTAAAGCTTTCTTCTTTGTATCGCTTTGTCTGTAATTATATGAATATTAAGACTTAGTATAATTATTAATTTATTTAATTTTATAATTGTTATTTTTTGTTTCAGTTTTTTTGTTCAATTTTGTGCGTTAAAACTCTCAATGTCAAACAAAAGGGGTGGGCATGGATCGGTGTGTTCAGATATTAACGCGTTATGCATTTCGTTTACTCGAAACTTTAGTAACTACTGTTAAAATAGTCGTCAAGAATTAATCGTATAAATCGTAGGGTAATGTTTACGATAACGAATGATCGGGAAAACTTACGGTAATCACCGATATACGAGTATCGTATCGGTATCGTTGCATCCCTAGATGAAATTGTATCAGAGTGGTACTCGCAGCTGTTTGCTTCTTTCTCAGTATAGGGTTACTTATGTCAAATACTTTTGTTTCTAGCACGGCAAATAATTTCAACTCTGGCCCCCTAGCATGAGCACCACGATATGCTATATCACGTTTTTATCACGCTCAATTGTCAAATTACTATGGAGTTGACAGTAAGACATGTTAAAAAACGTGATAAAATGTATAATGTAGTGCTCATGCTCCAAGGACTGGCCTTGCGATTCTGTATGTCTCTCGCTACAAGACTAACAATCAAGTCAACATCATTTGTATGATTTGTAATGTCTAAAGTCTAGTTTGATTTTGCTACATGGTAGTCATTCTTAGGGACAATACAGAAATGTACTACTACCTTTTTAATAAACAAGGAATCAGCTTAGACTAGTTACGCCGTGTTTTGTTTATGTCACTAAAATGGGATTTGTCATTCAATAGACTGACACAAAACATGGAGTAACTAATCCAAGCGTAGTCTTCGTTTATTAATAAGGGAGATAGAGATTTGGAATGAGGTTAATAAATGGAATTTGGAATGATGGTAATGACGTATGAAGATGCTTTTACGTAAAACATAAAGTCTAGGTCACACACTAAGTGCATAGGTACACCACTACAATCAGAAGTGATAAGCTATGTAAGTCCAACCACGTCGCTCGCTTGTTGTGTGGTCAGGACCAACTGTGATAATATGCAATACGTCTGCTTACTAAGAAATATTTGTTTAGCTAGTAGCTCGATCCTCTTTGGCTAAAGCTGTAGCTTTTATAGTGTGGCTGGCCCTAGCCAAAAACTTCATAATCTTATTCATAGCATCTTAGTATGACTTCAAACAGCTTTCGCCAGCGAGAACCTATAGGCAAGGGCGGATCCAGGGGATCCTAGGCTGGGTCCATCTGTACCCACTTCATAATCTGTACTTCACAATCTGTACCCACTGTGACTTAACCACGACTATATGACCCCCCTGGCGCCAAAGCTGGATCCGCCCTTGCCCATAGGTATATATCATACATAATCATTCATTGTATAATATGCTCTAAACAATTCCAACAAGATTTTCAATATTCTTTAAATTACGTTGTTTTTTATGTGAATTCCTTTTAAGAGTCTATTTACAGCTCAAGCCCTATTATGAGCTGAGCAATCATATCGAAGTTATGCCGTTGTTGTGTCTTTACATACTTGGATCACATATAATCTTAATACTATCTAAAGTTGCCGCGAACAATTCTCTTAAATCTTCTACTAGTTTTACGACATTAGTGAACTTAACTATGATTTGCTTTTTCCTAATAGTGGGGCTTACACTTAATGGAATTGTAAACGAGAACACGCAATTGTGGGACAATTTGAGCCATTATATCCAAGTAATAAGCACACAGTATATTGACTTTGGCTCTCATAGCTGAGGTGATTTTTTTAATACTCTGTATCTATACAGTACTGTAGTCCGCAAATTAAGTAAACTATGCTATTCAAACAATAAGGAACTGAAATATACATTGTTTGGTGTTCCATTAGTGGTTCGACTGGGAAACCCAAGGGTGTGCTACACACGACCGCCGGCTACCTGACATACGCGACCGCGACCATGCGCTACGTGTTCGACTACCAGGAGCGCGACGTGTACTGGTGCACCGCCGACGTCGGCTGGATCACCGGCCACACCTACGTTGTGTACGCGCCCTTGGCTAACGCCGCCACCTCGGTCATGGTGAGGGAACCCTTCTAAACTTGAGTCAAGTGTCACACTATAGGCAAACTAGGAGGCGGTCGTATGCAGAACACCTATGCATACGACCGCCTCCTACCTGTCGTACGCTACTACGACCAGGCGCTACGTGTTCAACTAGTAGGAGCGCGACGTGTACTGGTGCACCGCTGACGTCGGCTGGATCAGCGGCCACGCCTACGTCGTGTACGCGCCCTTGGCTAACGCCGCTACCTCGGTCATGGTGAGCCAATCCTTCTAGATCTGAGCCAAGTGGCACACTATAGGCAAAACTATAGGTGTGCATGCATACGACCGCCGCCTACCTGTCGTACGCTACTGCGACCATGCGCTACGTGTACGACTATCAGGACGCTGCATTTTATGATTCTCTTTTTTTCTTTTGCAAACAGACCAGAAAGGAAGTAATGTTTTGGAGTCTTAAATATTAACAATAATGATGATAATATTTTCGGAGCCTATAACACGCCGCATTATTAACAAAAAACAACGTTAACATTGAAGTAAGGCTGCAATGTTATGATGATATTTGAGATACATTTTCCCGTACTTTTATGTAACAATATTGTTTTTATCGCTCATCATACCTAGTCACAGTCAGTAATGATGTTCTGACTGCCAATTGAGGCCCGGTGAATTACTAGATAATCAAGTCTTCACTGTATTGTATACTAACCGAAGTCTAGCCTTGAACATACTTGACATCTAGACAATGACGTCATGTTACGGTAGGTATTGCTGTATGGTGAATTGATAAGGTCTGTCTTGCACGGAGTTGATCAATGCCAGATTGCTTGCAACCGGAATCGATAATTCCAAGATATACTCTAGGCAATAACGTCCATGAATCACAACCGTTCTTAAATTTAATTCTTGTCGTTAGAGTGCTCTTCAGATTGAGTGTGGCTGTACTACCCCGAATCCAAGAATCCACGTGAGTTTAAATTGACCACTTTGTCATACTAAAAGTATTATTAAAACAAACTGACACTAAACTAGGTAGTTGGTTAGAAAAACTGATTGAAGGCAATTCGGACTCGTATATGGAATATTCTCATCGTAGTTAAGGTAGGGACTGGATTATGAACAGTGATTAATAAATAAATGACTTCATTTAAGTTACTTTAGTTAAGACTTATTTTATAAAAATGTGTAAATATTAGTAATACCTACCTGTTGTATTATTTTGCTACACACATTCACACTATAAATAAATAAATATAAATATTTCCAACACTCACACCAATTACCCTAGCCCCAAAGTAAGCACTGTAAGGCTTGTGTTATGGGTTACTAGGATAACAGTTAGAATATATATATTTGTACATATATAAGTATACTTATATAGAAATACATATTAAACATCCATTACTGGAGTACTAATGCTCGTATTTATCACAAAAACATCTGCCCCCACTGGGATGCGAACACGGGACCTCTCGAGACGGCGACACCATGAAACCTGGCGTATAAACCACTCGGCCACGGAGGTCGACAAAGTTATGTATAACTAGTAGAATAGATAATTTACTCAGACCCGTCTTTCCCAGTGGGCACTTTGGGCAAGTGCCCAGGGCCCCGCGATCGATAGGGGGCCCCCTCAGATCAAATACAAAGTCCCTAGTTCCTGTAAAATCACTATACGGCAGTCATAGGGGCCCCATTATTCTAATATGCCCAGGGCCTCCAATAGGTCGAAGACGGCACTGAATTTACTATTATATTTAATATTACTCTGCGCGAGCACTAGCTTTTGCACCATCAAAGTGTGTACCTAATTACGATACGAAATTTAATAATATAAACAACATTCCTATAGAATAGTATAGAGATAAGCGAGTTCGGTTATAATAATAATAATAACTTTATTGCTTAAAAAACTGTGTACAATTATGCAGTTGGAATTGCAATAATAACATAGTCACAACAGTGTGCCCATAACGGGCATGCAATGGTAAAATTTATAACTTAACACTATCTTAATTTAAAAAGTACATTTTAGAGCCTAAATTATATTAAGTTTTACAAGTATAATATTCATCAAGATTATAAAAAACATTATTTAATAACCAGCTTTTTAACTTAAATTTAAACAGTGGCAAATTGTGCGCTTTAATTTCTGCAGGCAAATGATTGAAGATCCTAATGCTAGTACTGAAAGCGCTATTATAATACAAGTGATTATTTATCCTAGGTATGCATATATCATATTTGTATTTATTACGCGTATTCGGACGTAATGTGGTTTTATTTTCAAAGTATTCTGGATTTTGTTTAATAAAAATTGCTGATTGTAATATATAAATATTGGTCAAAGTGAGATAGCCCTTATCCTTAAAAACATTTCGTAACGTTTCATCTGAATACATATTATATATTATGCGTAAACAACGTTTTTGCAATAGGAAAATGGATTGAACGTTCACTGAATTACCCCAGAACATCACACCATAAGTCAACAGCGGGTAAACTTGTCCGAAATAAGCGGCTCTGGCTACATCTACTGATGTTGTTTCAGTAAGTATAGAGAGTGCATAACAATGACTACATATTTTTTTGTGTATTTTTTGAATATGATCTTTCCAGTTTAAGTGAGAATCAATAGTGACGCCAAGAAAATTAATTTCGTCAACTTCTGTTACTTTTGTATTGTTTTGTGAAATTTGTAATTTATAAGACAATGTTTTGTAGTTTCTGAATTGAATAAAATTTGTTTTAGTTAAATTTACACTAAGATTTACAGATTTGAGCCAGCTTACGATTGTTTCCAATGTTTTATTAATATGATTTTCAAAAAGAGTTTTATTATTATATAAGTCTGGAATGAAAATTGTTGCATCATCAGCAAAAATAACGCATAAATTGTTAATAATGTCTGGTAGTTCATTAACATAAACTAAAAATAGGAGTGGTCCAAGAATACTTCCTTGGGGTAAACCAACTTTTACCTTTTTTGTTTCCGATTTTACTTCCTCAAATATTTTACTATTTTTGTTATATGAATCTACCACTGTAAACTGTTCTCTTTCTTTCAAATAACTTTCTATTAGTTTTAGGGCCAGGCCACGCACGCCTAAGTTATCCAATTTACGAAGCAAGGTATCATGACAAACACAGTCAAATGCCCTGGACATATCTAGGAATAGTCCAATACACGGAATTTTATTATTTAATAATTCCCATACTTCTTTCAGGACTTTGTAAATAGCATGTGTGGTTGATTTCTTTTTTTGAAAACCAAATTGACATTTGTTAAGTAAATTATATTTGTTTAGGAATTGCAACAGGCGGGAATATATGACTTTTTCAAATATTTTTGAGAAGCAAGATAATAATGATATGGCTCTATAATTTTTTACATCTTTTTTACATCCTTTTTTAAAAAATGGTTTAATTTTTGCTATCTTTAATTCATGGGGGAAAGTTCCAGTCTCAATCATCAGATTTAAGATAAAGACTAGTGGGTTGGTTATATATTCAATTGAGCTCTTTATAACTTTAATTGGTACATTATCATAACCACAACTTCTTTTGTTACCTAAGCTTAAAATCAGTTTCTTTAATTCATATTTATCAACTGGTGACATAAATAAAGTTCGTGAGTGGTTTGTGGGGATGCTATTTTTACAAGAATTTTTGTTTGCTGTACTGGATGAAATGAAATGATTATTAAAAGTTTCAGCAATTTTTTGAGCATCAGATATTTCAACCTTATCAACAATAATTTTGTTTATTGTATTTTTGAATGTATTTTGTGGTCGTGTCTGTTTTTTTATAATATTCCATCTTGCTTTATTTTTATTATCACTTTTATTTATATATGTAATATTATACTTTTGCTTAGCTAATAGAGTTACACTTTTGAATATTTTGCAGTATTTTTTATAGTGAGGTATAAGTGAAGAAGATTTTTTATGTATTATTTTATGATGTAACTTTCTTTTTATTTTACTTGCTTTAATTATACCTTTAGTCTGCCACTTTTCTTTCATATTGTAAGAAACCTTTTTTCTTTCTAGCGGTATACACAAATCGAATATCAACCTAAACAGTTCAATAAATACACTAAAAGCAGATTGAACATCTTTGCATTGGTACACCTCCGAAAAATTTAACTTAGACAGATGCTCTAAGAAAGGATGCAAGTGCTTATCAATGTTTCTTTTGTAAATATACCAATATTTTTCGACAAAACCTTGATTACATGGTACATTTATTAACTGACCAGAGTGATCAGACAAACCAAGGTGAAGTACTTTGGCAGTGAAATGTTTTATGTTAGTTATAATGTTGTCCAGGCACGTAGCAGAGTCAGCGGTTATTCTTGTGGGCTCTTTAATAGTTAGAAGCAGATTATACTTTAAGAGAGTATTTATGAATAATGTAGATTGATTATTGTTTTTCAGGGTATCGACGTTGAAGTCACCTGTAATTATAACTTTCTTTTTGTTATGACGTGAACGTGATGTAATTTTAAGTAATATTTCATCTAAAGCTTTTATAAAGATATGAAAATTCGAGGTCGGTGTTCTATATATACATATAACTATGCAGTCAATTTCTGGCAATAATATTCCACAACATTCAAAATGTGATTCAATGCTAACTGAATCTAAGTATTGTAATAAGTTAAAGTTAATACTGTTCTTTACATAAATACCGACTCCGCCTCTCGCTTTGGTTCTGCAATAGGAAGCCGCCAATTTATATCCAGGTACCTGTAATACATTTGAATTTCTGCATTCAAGGAATGTCTCACTTAAGCACAAAATATCCACTGATTTGGCAGACAACATTATTTCCAGCTGATTAAGTTTTGCTCTAAGACTCTGTATATTTTGGTGAAATATATTAAGGGAAGTTGAAGATTGTTGCTTGTCAACATTGTCAACATGAGTTAAAATAAAAGGGTATACATCAATAAAATAATGATGGTTTGTAAAAGATAATGCTTTGATTAAACAAAATTAATAATAAAATAAATAAATTGAAAAGTATAACTACAAGAATGACACAAAAACACCTAAAATTAAGGACATATTATATTTTAGAACTGTACTGTGTTGAATTTAATCTCCATAACACGAATCCTTACTCTGGTGGTGGAGCAATGCTTACGATTCTTTCCAACACATTATTTATTTATATTATTTTATATAAGTTACATTTGATTATTTACATTGTTTAATTTATTTAAGTATAAGATTAGTTTTGCAAAAACCTTAAGGACATTTGAAGGGTATCTTTGATCCCAATGTCTGCGAACGAAGGCAATTAGTAGATTTTTTTTTTCTTCTTAGATTTTCGATTAAATTGAATATCATAGTTAAAGTTTTTTAAAAACAATTTCATGAGTTACATCTGCTTAAACAAATAATTATGTATTTAGAGGAAACCTGTAATTAGCTTTACTTTTAGATTATACTTTAGACCCATGTGGGTATGCATATATACTTTGTAACGCAGTTCGTTTCTAAATAAATTAAAATTAAAAAAATAAAAATTATTTATATTCTCAATGCACTAAAGATTTAAGCAGAAAAAACGAGGTTTTTGAATTTTTTTTTTGAGAAAAATACAGATAGGTATCCTAGGTAATCTGGTGTCCTAGAATGTTTTATGTTGAGTTTTAGTACTGATTATTGCTACCAAAAGCTTCCTCTCAGTTAGTACTATGTACCCCTGGGAGGATTTTGAATTAATTTTCAATATTATTCTCAAAAAGTTAACAGTTATGTATTAGACATAACTTGTGAACTAAGTCTGTCAATACAGTGTTTTAGACTGAGTTTAGGCTATGAATAGCTTCTGTAGACAGTGCCCCACGATATGCATTGATTTGTTTTTGATTTTGGTCAGTAAATTTTATAAAAAAATGAAAATTCAAGTAGAACCTAACATGTTACCTAACTTGTGCTAGGCCACATTTTAGCTTAAGACAAGGCCTGTATTAGTTTCCTAGAATGGTGTTCTACGTTGTGAACTACTTTTTATTAAATTTTATCCCTTAATTTACTTGTAAAATATGAAAGTTAGATTAGGACTTAACTTGAATCCTAAGTCATCCCTTGAGCATGTTAAAACCTCGTTCTCGTTATAAATAGTTAAAATTAGTCAAATTCTTAAATTAGAAGTGAAATATCAACATCAAACACTCAAATTAAATTAGATTTTACCAAATTTATAGGACTTCAGTCTTAAGTATATAATACTGTGTTCAAAATACCCTTTAACCTGGTAAATTAACTGCTAGTTAGGTAATTGGCTGTTTTGTCCCCAGGAGTTTTTTATTTTGGGTGAGAATCAACTTTTTCGAGCGAGCATCGAGTCCCGGGTGGATCTAGTGGCAAGTGCTCTCTCAGGATCGTACCTTACCTTCCCATTATTTATTTGTTTATTTTTTTTGGAGTCACCGAAACTTAGTTATATTTTGGATGACAATTAACCTTTTCGAGCGAGAATCGTGTCCCGGACGGATTCAGTGGCGAGTGTTCCCTCAAGACGTTAATTACTTGTTATTCAATTCAATTGTGAATCTCTGGAGACCGCCGAAATTGTGAACTATATATAGATTCCAACGTAGCTAACGTAACCTAATGTATAAATAAATTTAAGCCTAGCCTTGTTAACAGTTACTCAGGATTGGACTATTTAAGTTTATACACACATCACTCAAACCCAGACTAGAAATCGTCACGAACCCTCTCTTCTTTTATTTGTATCTATATGGGGAGAATAAACTTAGTAACCTTATTTGTTTTGAAAAAATACATTTTGATTAAAGTTGTTGTTATGTTTTAAAATTTTGATATTAAAATATTTTGATTTAATTTCTGAAAAGTGGTTATCTTTAACCCCAGATTCTCAAGGTTACAATATGTATGTTTGTGCCTTTGTGGCACATTAGAGACCAAACGCCTGGACCGATTTTGATGATTCATACATCAATCGATTCGTCTCAATCATGCGAGTGCTACTAAAGCTATGATAGTAATCAAAATTCAATATGGGGAAAATTAGGAGCCATATTGTGACGAAGTAACAAAAATAAGTTGACAAAATATGTCGAGTGGGGTATCATTGTCTAGATAATCGAAAAACATGTTTAGGTTTTTTACACCAATTTTCATTTTACATGATTGTTTGGGATCTACAACGCTTTAAAGTTATATATTAATCACTTGTTAATTTAGCATCTTATAAAGTAGAAAAGTCTGACTTGTCGTTGAAATGTGGTGGACTCATTCCTTTATTTCCAATTGCATGGGAAATTAGATACATTGAAAAAGGGTAAATTTTAAAAATAAAAAATTAGACTGCATAAATATTACTTCAAATAATACTGAAAAGAAAAAAATCAAGTCCAGTAGTCTATAATTCTGTGAATTAAGGATCAAAGCTACTTTAACAGTTGAGACCCATTAGATATTGAAGAATGGATATTCAAGATGATTTTTTTTCAAAAATTTAGGTTATATTATTGTAAAGTTTCATTAAAAGCCATTCAGTATTTTCTGGGTGAAAGATTAACAAAGATCCATACAAACGTAGGATTTAAATTAAAAGCGCAAGTGGTCAATATACAACTTTAAATCTTTGTGGATCCTAAACAGCCATATAAAATGAAAAAATGGTGCAAGTACCCTAAACATAATTTTCGATCATCTAGACAATGATACTCCACTCGATATAATTCGTCAACTTATTTTTTTCCATCTCAGAATATGGCCTAATTATCACCATATTGAATTTCGATTACTATCATATCTTTTGTAGCACACCTATGATCAAGACAAATCGACTGAAATCGGTCCATGCGTTTAGTCTCTAGTGTGCCACAAAGGAACATACATTCATATATATAAGACACTATACCCTGTCTGCGCGTCACGCTTCGCGCTCTTGCATTGCGCAGTCGGGTAAAAAACACATTACCGCTGGAAAAGCCGGAATATAAGATTTGTCAAATATTTCCCGCTTAATCCGGACGATGTCAATCTCTCGGAAATGACATTGATCTGTAATTCAATGCTTAAGGTATGTGCTCTAATTTAAGCAGTTGAGATAATACAGATAAAAGTTATGGGTCTTAAAATGTACCGTGTAAGGTAATACATAAGTATATCCGATTGTTAATACTTAATTTTGTTGCAGTTTGAGGGCACTCCTTTCTACCCAGACAACGACCGGTATTGGGCGCTGGTGGAAAAGTATAAGGTCACTCAATTTTACACTGCTCCCACCGCCATCAGAGCACTCATCAAATTCGGAGATGATTTTGTGAAGAAGTGAGTAACCAAACTGCTTATGGGCACAAAAAGCCGATTTTCCACTGCAATTCGAATGGCAAATCCTCTATGCCCTTAGTCTCTTATGAATAAGTTTACATTATTAAACATGCGATACGATCCTATAACTGAGATGTCGGATAATAAGAACTTTTATTTCTCTATACCCATGAAATCAAAGGATATGGTTGTATTTGTATTCTAAACCACCAGATCTCAGTTTTTTTTTGTTATGTACCGTGACATGTTTATTTGACAATGGTATTCCTTATATCTCCTATAAAGGCACTGCTTGAGCACACTGAGGGTCCTGGGCAGTGTTGGTGAGCCCATCAACCCTGAAGCGTGGCTGTGGTACTACAACCTGGTGGGCAACGGAAGGTGCTCCATCGCTGACACTTTCTGGCAGACAGAAACCGGTGGGCACGTGATCACCAGTCTACCCGGAGCCACGCCCATGAAGCCAGGCGCAGCCGTGAGTGAATACTTTTTTCACGCTGATTTTATGTTACTGGATTAGGAATTATGTCAGATTTCCATTGAGTTGATTTAACTCGCAAACTAAGAAAATAAAACAGATGTTTACAATTAAAAATGGGTGCGTGTACTTATGTAGGTGCGTGAGAAGTTATCCTTCTTTGGCATCGTTTAAAATTAGTTTTTAATTGCATGCAAATAATTAATTACAATAAATTAATAAAAAGTCTGGAAAAGGACACAGTCAATAAAGTTCAGTTTTAATTTGAAAAAATAAATAAATAATCAAAATATTCAATTAAAATCGCTACTGAATATAATTTGTGCATCATTCGAGGAACGAACCGCCGCTCAGCTGACCACAGATCCTTGCAGCTGAGCGGCGGTTCGTTCCTCGAATGATGCGCGAGGCTATTGAGATTAAAAAATATCCAAATTTCAATAGGGAAGATGGTTGATATATACCACCAGCTTGGGAACCTATTATACAGGAGATAAAATCCCAACCCCGAGCACACACTGCAAGACCATCAGTCTCGGTCGCTAAAGCGACCAACTTCATGCTGTTAAAATTTTGTGTTACAGTGATGCGCGCGCATCTTAAAATTTCACTCTCATCATTTTTTCATAACGCGCCTAAAGAAGTATAACTTCAAAAAACAAAACAAAAGACGAGTGGTATCGATTATATTAGTTTTCACTTTTTAAACACTAACCCTAACTTTAAAGTTTAAAAAATAGTGCGTATTTGATTTATAAAAAGTTTTACTAGAAATAAATCTACTTGATCCAGGTGTCAGGCAGAATTCGAATCTGCTCCTTCCGCTACCCGGGCGGATGCAACATGATTGATGATTACAATTTGATGTATTATAATACAACGGATTTCTTTCACGATTATAATGGTATGTATATCTTTGTATTCAGGGTTTTCCCTTCTTTGGTGTGGAACCGAGTCTGTTAGATGAGAACGGCAAGCTCATAGAAGGTCCCGGTGAGGGCTACCTGGTCTTCTCTCGACCCTGGCCCGGCATCATGAGGACTCTCTTTGGTGACCACGACCGATACGAGAAGGTTTACTTCTCTAAGTTCCCTGGATACTACTGCACCGGCGACGGTAAGTGGTAACGATACTTAGAATGTTAGAGAAAAATGCTTTCATAGTGAGATTTGTAAGAACATTTATGCCTAAGTGTAAAATGCACCAAATACAATTTCAAATATTTTTCTAAATAGATATTTCTTTAAGGCTTATGTACAATGTACACTATAAGTGATAAATAGCATTGGGTTAAGGTCCGAAATTTAATCGTGTTGGATACCTACGTCAGATGAAAATACATGGCTAGAATTGATGATTTAAAGAAATCTGCATTTTCTTTGTATTTTCATTCATACGGTTTATTAAAAAATTAACTATTATTATTTTACAGGGGCTAAAAGAGACGAAGACGGCTTCCTGTGGGTAACAGGTAGGATAGACGACATGCTCAATGTATCTGGTCATCTAATGTCCACCGCAGAAGTGGAAGGAGTGCTCACCGAAGAACCCAGAGTGTCCGAAGCCGCCGTAGTGTCCAAACCTCATCCCGTAAAAGGAGAGTCGCTTTACTGCTTCATAAGTCTTAATGAAGGCGCCAAATTTGATGCGGACCTTGTCAGCTGTTTGAAAAAGCTGGTCAGACAGAGGATTGGAGCTTTCGCTGCACCTGACGTCATACAATACGCGCCAGGACTCCCCAAGACCAGATCCGGAAAGATCATGCGCAGGATATTGAGAAAGGTCGCCCTCGGAGACCGAGACATCGGAGACACATCCACATTAGCAGACCCCAACGTAGTGGAGGAACTCTTCAAAAATAGACCCTAAATGCTGCCCGATTTAGAAATTTTTGCCTCGCCATTGCCTGCTGTTTCTGTCCCTTACCCGAAGCATTTAGAAGTGCAGCTAAAATTGGCACCGCTCTATGATTTCCGATGCATACCGTCCCCAAATAGTACTGTTTTATATTTTTATATTCAGTCAGACTATTGTCACAATCGTCTCAATAATAACTGAAATCATTATTATTCTTGTTTCGAATCTTAGCTAAACTTAGCTGTGTTTTGTATTAATGTATACTGTTAGCTATTATCTAAATTTAACCAAATAAACACACAAGCTTTACACTCTGGACCGTTAGTAAATTCGTAAATTATAATTCATGAAATAATTAAACTTATAAAAACATTAAAGAAATTCAGAGAGTGCAATTTGCAGGCGACAAGTCAATCAAACAGAGGTGAAAATGAAGGTACAATGTTAAGTACACTTGGTCAGGTATATATTTTTATAGAATATTTGTTGAGAACGAGTAAGCATTGTGGTCATTAAAACATTTTCAAGAAATTCGTAATCCAGATTGTCAGATATATTTAATTACTATGAAAATGGGTCAATGGTCAGAAATAAAGGTGGAAGTTTTTAAGTGTTGCACGCATTTAGTTATTTAGTACCGTTATGTAAAAGAGTTTTTTTTTTAAATCGTGATGATAGGTAGGTTTTAATTTTAAATTGAGTTGATATGAATGGTATGCTTGGGTTCGTTTGGCAATATTTCTGTGGTATTTTACATGCAGTAGCAATAGTTATTTATATTTTGATGAGGTCTTTAAACTTAAAACTAAATTTAACATCAGTCTCTCCTTTTCATTCTCTATAGAGAATGACAGGGATGCACTGTTGTCAAATTTAAGTTTAGCTTTAGAGAATCATGCCAGAATCGACATCATTGTTGCGACTAAAGTTCGTTAACTAAAAACCTAATCTTACCTACATGTTGAAGAAGTAAAAATTACATATATTTTCCAAAATTTAGTTGTTCACTTAAAGAAACACGATCTCAATAGGTAACTCTTTTGTTGAGAAACTTTAGGGGTATAGACAAATATATCAACTTTCATTCTTCATACGACCGAGTGTTGATACTTCGAAAATATTTGAAATGAATTTTCACATGATAAAATAACATGATTTAGTTTGTGCCAAGATTTTAATATATTTTATGAATGACTAGAGATAGAATATACTTAAGTATTTTATTTCTTTTTCACAAATGTATGAAATCTACCTGCAATGTAAGACTACACGTTGAATGGTCATTTAAAAAATTGATGTATATATCCTCAAAGCAAATTTATTTATTTTGTATGTGCAACACATGTTTTGAAACGGAACAATTATTATAGTTAATGATTCATAATTTTAACATTGTATTTAAAAAAATATTTAATAGTGTTTCTTAAAAGTTTTTCTATTCAATAAGCTTGAACTTTTGAGCGCACATTTTACTTTTTTAAGTGTTTAATTACTAACAGATAATCGGGATTAGATCATCAATCCATGTTTTTTTTTTTCATACTTTCTTTTGCTGAAATAATAGAAATAGAGCGTGGACTGGACGATAATCGCATGAAATTTACAACTTTCTGGAAAGACAGAAAGCGATGGTGCATGCCATAACTACACCAACATCGGCCACACGATCGCTTCGAGTCACTTATAAGTATCTGCCCAGTTTTAGTTTACAATTGGACAAGGATCACTCAGTACATTCTCTGTCTACGGCTGATCTAGTGGCTCTATTATATTAAAAAAGATCATGTTAAAAAAAATCTAAATTTTCTCATAAGTAGTACGGCCGGACCACTACGTAAGTATACTTGGGACACAGTCCAGTTAAGTAAGTCCAACAGCGAAAAAGAGATCTCTCGTCGAATCTACCTTGGATCGAAGATTTATATTACCTCAGTGCAACGATATTAAATCGTTGCCTCAGTGTCTCAAGACAAGTCTTTGACCAGTGCGTGTTGCCAGTGATGACCTTACGATGAGGTCTCATAAGAAAGCTCAAGGTCACACAGCGAGCAACAGAGAGATCGATGCTTGGTATTTCCCCGCAAGATAGAATCAGAAATGGGAATATCCGTAGGAGAACTAAAGAAACTACAAAACAGGGAATTCTATTTACAATGTTCTATAGTTCGCATTATCATTGGGAGCGTGGGTAGCCAGATGCCATAAGTTTGAGCTCAAAAAATTGCTCCTTCCTCCTCCTTAGATTAGTTCAGAATCCACAGAAATATTTATTTATTTCCGTCACAATTAAAAGCGAGCGTTTAGATATGATAGGTATTTTCCAATTAGTTCAAATAGTTACAATAGGTGGCATGATGTTGTACTTTTCGCACATATTTGTAATACACAATATCATTAAGTACTATAAACTTATAATAAGTAGCTATATATAACTATTATTATCTTAATTTGTATTGAATAAATTTCAGGTTAGGTACACCCACCAACTTATTAAATAAACAAGGCGTAAGCTGGTATTAGTTATCTACGGCTTTTTTTTTTAATTATAGATTTTTTTTCCATCAAGTATTTTTTTCTCTATTCAAAGAAATATTTACCAAAAATAAATTGATCTCTAGGCACGAATGACATGGACCAAATACTAAAACTTGCCGAAAACACGATATCAGATATTTTGGGTCTGTCTGTTAGTACGGTACCGATATTGGTTGAACAGCTTTGCTTAAAAAAATCTGACAGAAAAAGTAACCTTTAACTACCAGATAGTATTATCTTATCTGGTAATTAACCGCATTCCAAATGTTCTTTGAATGTTGTAGACAAAACGCTGCGTAACTCCCACCAAGCATTCTTCAGTTTAAAGTTTGGATGACGAACAATTATTTTAATTATTTATTGATAAGTTACCTTAAAATATATAAGTATACCTATTCAAGTCATAAAGAAACGACTAATAATAATAGACTAAGATATATAAAGGTATGAATTATAATATACTTAGTTGGGATGCGAATGCAACACAATCTGATGGTGTGGCATGTATAACTGTTGCATCGGCCGTCCTAAAGTTATGTAAAAAAATCCTAAAGATTTTGGTTAAGTCCTTGAATAATTTCCTAGGCTTGGAACTGTCAATCAAACGGGCATTTTTAACAAAAGAAAAAGACACTAGGGTCTTCCAAAGTCTTCTTAGCATTAATTTGTAGTCAGATAATTTTCTAATGTTTTGTCATTGTTTTGTTTGAATAAAAAAAATATTATAACGTTTTCAGCATTCGGTTCTATTTGAGCATTTCGGTCCACTAGTTACTCGAGTGGAGTTTTTACTCAAATGACTCATGAAATTTGCCAACATATTCTCGAATAAAACAAAATTACAAGAGCCTGGTAGCACTCCGATTTCAAGTAATTTGGAATAAGAAATAACGTAATTAGGGGATTTCCAATTTTAAACCCCCAAGTACCCATAGCCCATAAAAGGCGCGGTCCGCCCCTGCAAGCTTATTTGATAACTGGGTTTATAACAGATTAGATCATTTTTTTGGAATAACACATATTCTGGTGGTTTTATATCTAACTGAACATCAATAATAATACTACATATAAGTTTTAGAATGAATTACGCGCTGTGATTTTTTTACTTGGCATACCAAATATTTTGTGTTAAATTTAATTATTTTGTTATCGTAAGTAAAAGTTTAACCGTTTCGTAGTGTATAGTACGTACGTGTACGTTACTAACCTAAGTAGTCCCGCAATACCATGCAATGAATAGTTAAAATAAATTTAATCAGATACATACATTTTTATGCGGAACTACCTTGTTTCTTCTCAGCAATGATGCAGTAGTATAGAAGGACTTTAAAAGTACCTACATTATATCGTGTACCTATTTCAGTTGCATAAGTGTTGCTTGAATCGTGATATTAAAATGAATTGTTGATTCGTCATGCAATATAAAAATAATGACAACTTGAGTTTCTTTTACTTTCGACGACCTGTTAAGTAGATACTAGTATGTAAGTGTTGATGTTAGAGACTATAATTTAGCCAGTTTTGTGCGAAAAATGTAGAAGCATAGCATAGCATATTCCAATTTACTTAGATTGTTATCATATTTCCTGACGAGAAATATCAAATCACGCCTTACCACGAAATAGTAGCTGTAATTTATAAAATTAGTCTTACATTAATGCACATGCCGACAGATGATGAACAATTATTAAAAAGTGTGGAATTCCAGCATCACTGTACTGTGGTGGTAAGGCCAATCAAAATTTTAGGAATTATAATTCGTGATATTTCTAGCATTCCAAACCCATATTTTTTTAGCAACAGTACTGACACCTTGAAATGAAATAAAGGATGTAAAACGTAAACTATTTCTTCATTAACCCAAATGGAGAGCACATTTGTCTTGGTAAAATTACACATTTCTCGTCGGAAACTGAACGTTGTTAATCTTACTATAAAGTCTATAAAAAAAAGGGTGTACTTTTTTGAAAAAATAAATAATAATAATGGGAGTTGTATCAGTTGATGTTCTTAAAAAACTATAATATTGGCACTAATGAATGATTTTAAAGATATAAGTAGAGGTTAAGGGATATAATTGTGATTGTATGTCGAAACAAACATATCATTAAAAGTGATTAAATTATATTATACAACATAAAAATTGGTTGTGAATCATTATTCATTATGATTGTCCCTGAAACACAAAATTTCTCAACACATCACGTGACTATAAATATCTACCTACAATCACTAGTAGATTTCAAAAGCTCTACAAAACATACCCTTCTTATATAATCACTTACATACATTTCTACACTTTACAATGAAAGCTATTATAGACCCCAGGCTTTTAAAAAGAGTTCTTAGTAGCCAATCTATATGTATCTACTAATATTATCTAAGTAGGTTTACCAATTAAAGCTATAAAGAGCTTAAGTTTGTAGGACCTCCTATTAGGTACATACTGAACTGATTTAGAAAATTCTTTCATCAGTGCAGGGTCGTATTTTAAAATGTGGCGCCTCGGACCATTTTCTATTTTGTACACTCCTCTCGCGCCTACGCCTCTGCATCTACTGTTTTTTCTTGTAATATAGGTCAGTAACGAATGTTTTTATATTGTTTATACTACCCCGGGTCATGGGCCTCTTGGCCCTAGGGTAGGCTAGTCACTCACTCTCTCGTATCTCAGGTTAAAATAACTTCCACCGGTGCAAAGGCAGGGCGGGTCGCAAGTAATGAATACCTAACACACCCAGACCAGAGATGTATGGATGAATGTTGTGAATGAATTTCGAATGGATAATATGGATACACGAAGGGTCTGTCAAGAGTTTAAGATAGCAAAGTGATCCTTTAGAAGTATTTTATCTTTTGTATGTGTACGGTATGACCCGTGGGTAAAAATAAGAAAAGGAAATAACAAAACCGCGGACCACAGAACCCAGAAAGGAGGTTAGATTGGTGATTATGTTTGTATGGATACCGTGGTGTCTCTGGCTGGCCCCCACTACACTTTTCCTCTTGTTGTGTTCAGTGACTGGCAAGAGTCTAGCGGCGGACTAAACCCGTCAGAGGTCCGGGGCGGCAAAGCAGAAAGGCCCCCTTTAACAAAAATTAGTTTCTTATGTTTATTTCGTTAAATCTGGCAAGTGAAATTTAATTTAGAATTAAATTATTTCGGCTAAATAAACATACATACCTACAATATTGAATGGATATGGATGAGAAAATCAAATACGAATCGATCGACAAAAAAATACTAATAATCAAAGATAGTTTTTTTATTTTTGGTAGCGTTTTATATGTGTTTTCGTGCCTTCAATTTACTGAACTCCTCATTAACTTCTGTGATATCGATTTCTTTGGATTTTTTTCTATTGAAAGCACGGCTAGATTAATACCAGTCGCTTATGATCCATTGTAGATCGAAGATAATTTTTAATTAGTTTAAGTTTCGAAAAACTCCTCTAGCATGGTGCAAACAAGATGCAAATAGTCAAAAAATATTGAAGTATAAGCAATTTAAAGAGTAACTATTCACTGAAGTCCCATTTTAGTATTAATTGAAGGATTTCTTGGGCTCTCCAATGGGCAGCAACGTCCATACTCGTATCGGTGACTTTTACATGCCTGCGGTACTTTTTTATTTTTTGGGAAACTTGCTCCTTGTCAAATTCATCATTACTTTGTATCAGATTGTCAACTGCTACAGCCAGAGCATCATCTGAAGCTTCTAGCATAAGCTTTATTTCAATAATTTGGAAAATATTATTGATTTGTTTCATTGCCCCGTATTGTGTCGACATGTTCTATAAATCGATCTATGCATTCATACATTGACCGACGTATTTCTTCTGGAATTGATAATCCAGCATAATGAGCTCGATACTTGGCATCGTTCTTTTTACCTTCCTTCTTCCTCGTTTCTCGATGTTGATGTCCATGTCATTGCATTTTTTTATCACAAAAGTTACAACATTGTCTACAATGATGGTTCGTTCGGTCACTAAATACTCATACAAGGCGTTTAATTTGGTGATTCCTATATCAAGAGTCATTTTTGGAGATTGCAAATATTGTTGAACTTATGTTAATTCTTCCAGTACAGATAGCCAGAATTGTATAATAGGTTAGAAAAGTACAATTACGTACAGGCGGCAGGAGCAGGCTTGCTCCTGATCTTGTATCTAGATTTGCTTTTGTTGGATCTTGAAAATGTTTCAAACTACTTACAATTGTCTCTATGTTTTCTTTTACAACTTTTACTGACTCGTAATGAGAGCTCCAGCGAGTATCCAATAAACATTTTATTTTTTTTCTAGTTTTCACTTTCAGCAATTGCCATCTCTCTGTAGATGACGAAAATAACGAATATAATTTCTCTACTGTTCCAAAACACGTGACGCTGGAAGGAACGCATACAAATGCATGAACTCCACAAAGATTCAAGGAATGATTAGAACAAGGACTGAACAGTGCATTTGGATTTACTTTTCGGATTTTTCGTTGCACCCCTCCATGGACACCTGACATTGACGCGACATTGTGATAACCTGCACAACGCAATATTCAGTCCGTCTTTTTCCAGCTGTTGCTGAATGTCTTTTGACATATCCTCAGTAGTTTTTACAGACATTAAAAATAAACCCAAGAAAGATTCTCTTACTTCCACAATGTCATTCTCTATATGAAAGAATTTAATGATATGACTTAAGAATTTAATTTTACTTTCATCAGGAGTGCTGCCAAAAATGATTCGGTAATATCTGCAATAATTATTTGCCTTACATGATCACCCAAACATTGAATAAATTCATTTGGTGTTCCTTTTGGCAAATAAGATGGTACTCTCTTTGACCCACCAGCAGCCTCTTTTATGTAGGCGTAAAAGAGTGATTTATTTGCACTTCATTCATTCAGGGATTCCTGAGTAAGTACCCGCTACAAAGACGGGAATTCCTCCAGCGTATTGGACACATTCAGCAAAGGTAAAAGAATAATAGTACCGCGTAAAAAGTCTAGATGGCTGTAGTGTTTTGATCTTGATGAAATTATGTAGGTAAGCACATTTCTAAAGTCATGTTTAGGATTTGATCAGGGGAACTCGGAGGCATTTGGGGGCCCCCCAAAATCGGAGGCCCGGGGTGGGCCGCCCCTTCCGCCCCCCTGTTAGTCCGCCACTACTTGAGTCGCCTTGTATTGTTACTTTACAGCGAAGCGGCAAAATACCTGTATTACTGGCATCATATTCTAACTTAAAAAAATCTAAAAATTTAGTTTTTTTTTTCAATAATGGCATTACGAATATCAATTTGCTTTCAAGACTCTATTTCTTTAAGGGTCACTAGAAAGGATTCTATTTCTTTAAGGGTCGTACACTTACTAAAGTATGATAGTGAAATAATACACGCTAGACCTTTTGATTTTTTAATAATCAATGAAAACAACAATATCGACATTTTTTTTATAATAACAACATTTCAAAAGGACATGCAACATCAAATTTATTAATTTCTAAGTATGAAAAATCGTAAAACTGCTAATGAAATAAATTAATCTATTTTCCAAATTATCGAACAAAATCTTCACATATCTATTAAAATAAGAAATAAAAAAGCGACGATTGCATACTTTATAATTACCTTGTAATTTAACGCGTATGTATACCCTCCAAGGTAGGAGAGTTACCTATGAACTCACTAAGGTACATATTCAAAAGCCGTGGTAAGGAAACAGACTTTATTTTTATAACACTTAAGAAGCTTTTTCGTTTAATGATACAGGTACATACATTTATATTATATAGGTAAATTCCCTTAAATAAATAATAATAATAAACAAATCTTTACTCTACCCACTTAACTATCGAAGTTAAGAACTATCTACTAGTGATGCAATATGAAAAAAAAATGTTACTGTTTACATACGATGGTTAACGAACCACTGTGAGAGAGACACTAGACGAAAGAGATTACTCTATAGCTCTGTCAATGAACAATAAGAAATTCAAATATTTTCGTCTAATAGCTATTTGTCACTGATACTGATCTATATTAGTTTCTATGGAGCTCAGAACAAAATCACGCTACTCGACTACGTTAAGGCTGGTTTACACTATCTTAAATTTTAATCAGGAATTGCCAGGAGTATTGTAAGCTTCAAAACAAGTTATCTTAACTGTATTATTTATAACTAACTACTTGACCCCGCGTACTTCGTACGGGTTAAAATAAAATAATAGAAAAGTGTTGTTTTTGGACTTATTAAGGCATTTTTTTTAATTTTTCTCTGCGTAAGAACCATCCTCCTACTTCAAGGAATATTCTAAAAAAAGAATTATCGACATCGGTTCAGCTATTCTCGAGATTTGCGCTTAGCAACAAATTCAGCGATTCATTTTTATATTATAGAAGATAGATAGATGACTCGCATTATTAAAGTCTTTTTTTTTTTAGTTTGATTAAAGTTCATGCTGTCAATATTAAAAGACTTCTCCTTTTAATTTAGTTGACTTATTTGTCGGTTTGTGAGTCTAAAATTAATAAATTGATTTATTTTTAAATATTAAATAAGTTATTACAGTATCGAGTTGCACAAACCCGTTACAAAGAGGTCCTATCATAGTCACTAATAAATTACTTTGTTTTAACTTTCTTCTGAGGAGGAGCCGCGGGTGCCGTCTTGAAATAAAGGCAGTAGAAAACACCCGTCGCCACAACCAAAATTGTCGACAGAACAGTGATGTATTCGGCACGATTTCTGCAATACCAAGAAGAATATTAGATAATTTTATAAAAAAAATACACCTACGAATAGATTTGAAAAAAAAAACTGAAATTCAGAGAACTCTTTCTAAAATAGATGGATAGGGTTTTTAGGTAGATTATATGAAAAGGGTTAACGTAGTATAGGTATTTTATTTATTAATATCATCATGAGCCTATAAAACTTCCTCACTAATTGGACACTGATGATGGAATAAGGACGTCACGTCACCACGCGGAGTCATATCATGTCTCATTCTTACACCAGTGTGGATTAGTAAGTGCCAACGATTGCAGATGCAGCCGGGGCCAAAGGCATAAAGTCCTTTAAAAGACATGGAGGTCAACCATCCTATAACCGGTATTACAAGTTTCATAACTTCCACGATCCCAGACCGAACGCGCAAACCACTGCGTCATCCAGCTCCTAGCTACTAAAATATTCTCATATTAAAGATACGAACTAGAGTCTTTGCTATTTTATTACCAATATCCCAACAGCGTTGAGGATAGTGCACTTCCGGACACATCTATCGACCCACCTAGCATTTTAAGTTTAGACGCCCTAGCTAAAAATAGATGTTACATTAAGCAAAAAGTTATAACCTACGCAGTTTTGAAGCTGAATAAAAAAACATCATTACGTGTGTTTTTAAAATTATTGCTCAAGCATATTCATATATTTATGCTACAGACCGTTAAAATAAAACACTAAGTGGACCGATAGATGTGTGGAAGTATATGCTTTCACTGTGTCAGCATAAGCTGAAGCAGGGTCCTGATTAGCCGTCGCTAAATAGATTTACTTTTTTGTGTCATAAGTTAAGTTCTCTTTTTATTTTTCAATTGTAGTTTGGCCAATAAAGGTTTAAATTAATTTACCAGCATAAAAGTGCTTTATTAAGGATGGGTGCGTGTAGTGTGCAAGCGATACTTTTTAAGTGAACGTTAAGATTTTTTTTCTTTTTTAAATTTATGAATAAAAATCGGTCTGCTATTATTATGAATAGATAATACAAGGTACTTACTGGAACGGGGTACCGCATATGAGATACCACGAGGCCCCATTGGCCGGCTTTTGGCCACTCACGCAGCTGAAGTCAAAATACTTTTCATCGTAGTTATCGACACATAAGTATTTGCGCTTTGGTAGAGTCTGTAAATATAACGAAACCTCTTAGCTTCTATCCAGTAAAAAATCCTAATTAGTAATGGATTGGTCTCATTCCACAACAATACTATACTTACTTATATGTGTCGTTAAAACAGATTACAAAAAAGTGCAAGTTCTTGATATTATATATGTGCAAGTTGTTGATTGCAATAGAAATTTTACTATTCCTTTTGCAAATGTTCATGTAATTTTTAATGGTAATTTGATATTTTATGTTTCTAAATACGTTACTAAAATTGCCTCTGTCAAGTTTTGTAACAGTTTTTGAAAGTAGCTAATGTAATTATCGCTTTTTTCCGACCAGGATAATAATTCAAGACATTTTTAGCTATTTGGAAAACATACAAAACCTATGTGGAGACATAGACAGATATATGTAACAACGTTTATAACACATTTGCTCGTAAAGCGTCTCTTATTGCACCAATTTCAATATCATAATCTATCATATTACACACGCGTGTGGTAATGTAAAGTAAAACGCACGGCTTATTATGTTCCGTCTAAAAACGAACGATACTTTTTTAAATATTAGCAAAGAGTTTTTATGTCAGAACGGTAGCCAGCATTTTCTTAATTAAATTAACTTTGGGAGATAAACTATAATATATAAACATTTAATTCTTTAATTTGATTCATTTTGACCATAAATTACAACCATGTATCGGTAACAAATTCACAAAAATATTAATTTATTAGTAACACTGGCTGTTTTTTGTACCTTTGCCTAAAAAAGCGTTGACGCGCGCGCATCGCTAATCTGTGAAAAAGTTATTTCTTTTCGCTGTATTGTTTTTATTTGAATATATTGTCAAGTAGTAACGAATTTATTAATTTGACACCGCCAGAAGTCGAAAAAGGCTACGCTAAGCCTCTTACCCGAAAAATCCACGAATAGATACTTACAGTCAATCGTATCAAAATTTCATCTTATGGAAAACAAACAAAGGTGCAAATTAATTTTCAGAAAGTACCTACTTACATAGGTAGTATTATTTCCTCGCAAATGTGTTATAAAACGTCGTATGGCATACGTGCGGTTTTATAATTACAGCTTCTGCCTTCTTATAGCCCTCACCTACGGCTCGGGCTAACAGTATCGCCTCGGCTGTAATTCTCAACGTACCGCACTTGTATCATAATGTACTATTACAAAATGTGCTTACCAACTTATTGTACAGAAAAAGCCTGTTGGAGTTATGGAACGCTTTTCGATTTCATCTATAATCTTTTTTTTTATTATATATTGAATGCCAATGGTCCTTAATATAATCCTTTATTTAGTTACACTGGTATAACATCAATATTACGAGTAATCCCAAATTCCAATAATGTGCCCACCTGTCCAAATGCTGTGGTCAGATACGAGATGTCATCACAAGGCCCGACTGGTTCGTGGAACCCGAGGGACCATTCCTTCTCTGGGCTGAAGAATACTACGAAGACCCAGTATATCGAATAGTGTACAGCCAACTGGAGTATCAGGACGTAGTCGATAGCCGACAATCTGTAAATCATGGAGAGTAATGATGTCTTGCTTATAATCTAACAGTCACTGGCGTCGTCCTTATTGACAACGATCGTGCGATGGCGCGAAGCGATCTCATTGTGCGATGAAAATAATGTACCTGTGCTTGTGCAACGGCTTACAAGCTGTATTAGGACAGCTCTAAAGAAATCTGTGTGTTGAAATCATCGCACGACGAGAAGGCATTGTGTCCTCGTACCATCGTTGCCAATTAGGACGACGCCGTATGCAGAAACGTTGAAATTGTCTCATTCTATTGCTATCGCAAAGAAAGTAACAAACTTAATTAACATCACTGAGTGCGGCGGTAAGGAACTCTTCATTGAGGAGCCGGCCTGTCCGGGTGGCACAATCTGAAGATTTCGGAAATTAATACACTTGACTGTGTGACCAAAACGTTACTTTCTCGGATTTCATTGTATCAGACGGAAGGTAGAGTATGTTAATTTGGCCTGCGTTTTCCCAGAGTTAAGGCCTGTGCTCCACTGATTAATCAAATAAGCACAAAGTACTTATAATTTAACAATAACAATTTGTATTATATATAGGAATAATGGTATGTACCTATTTACTTAGTTGTAGATTACTGATAGCTTAGCTATGCCTAACAGAGAATTGTGTAATCTGTTCGATCGATAAAGTTTAAACAGATGTTACCTCTCACAATAGGTAACTATACGTACAAATGTTGTTTCTCCCGCTCCATATAATATTATGAAAGAAAGAGTTTACTGTTAGTGATAAATTTAACTATTGTAAGCGAGTCGGTATTTATGGTCAGTCTACGGACGAAACTTTAGGTTTAGTACGTACCTTCTGTCAGAAAGCTTTAAACCAAAATAGGTAGTTATTTCTGTTTTAGATACAAAACCTCGTAACCAACTTGTAACAGACCCACATCTGCCTGAAATGGTTTTTTTCTCCTCGGTGACAAAAGAAGTTGTTCAATAACTACGTAAGGGTTTCACAGATTTTAAATGAATTTATCATGACACTATATTGATATATACCAACACATATTTACGAACACAGCCATGTATATACATATATGTGTTGGTTATGTTGTTTTCTTACCTTTCCTTGACTTTTTCCCTGTCACTAAGCAGCCCATTGACGATGAAAATCCCAAATAGAGAAAACAGCAAGAAGAAGGTCACCTCAGAGTGAATATTGTATATGTCATGGAGTGGATGGTATATGGGTACGAACATCAAGACTCCTCCAGGCATTCCCAACAGCGCAGCTACCAATAAAGCCTTCCATTCTGTCTTTTTGCTGAAAATATTTACATGCCAATCAAACGGTTTATTTTTAAAACTGTTTATTTGTTATAATGTTCTTCTTTACTAATAGGTATGTACCATAGATTAAAAAGTGGTCTCCCTGCGCGAGACCAATCATTTATCTGAGGTACGTACGTATGAATTATAGAAGCAATATTAATCGGATATTCCAATGCTAAATTGGCTAAGCAAACATTTACGTATTTCAGTGGGTATTAACACTGTTTCGGCGTTATGCGTACTCTTCAATAAAGCTCAGTTGTTTACTTGAATAATGCGTATATTGCGAATATAATTACAAAATAAAATTAAACGAAAATTGCGAAAGAAAGTTGAGCGTACAAAATTTAAATTGCGTAGAGAGTGAAGTGAAGAGGGGGGTTTTTTTGATCACGTGGGTCAAAGCTGCTTCTACTGGTGGATATGGAGCGACGTTCCGGTGTAGGCAGAACTTTTTACTCAAGCGTCAACATGCCGCCGGCCTTGGAAGCACCAGCGTCCAACACCTTGTCTTCTATGTCGAAGAGGAGAAAGCACGACGTACAATACCAGCAGCAGTCTGAATGTCAGCCACTCGTGAAATTCCATCTTTCCCTGGCGTGGTGGAAATGATACGACCCAAGCTCCACTTCAGAGGAGGAACGGTATCCTCTTTGATTACAACCAATGTATTAGGTTGAAGATCGGCTCCATTTCCTGTCCATTTTGTTCTGATTTGCAGTTCCGAGGTATATTTCTTGTTCCAGCGAGTCCAAAAGTGCTGTCGAAGCTGCTCTAGTCTTTGGTAGTTCGTCAAGCGGTGAACAGGAACATCTGTGTAGTGAGCCGATGCAGGTGCTGTCAAAGGCCGCCCAATAAGGAAATGGGCTGGACACAAAGGGTTAATGTCGTTTGGATCAGAGGACATAGGACTCAGTGGGCGGGAATTTAGGATAGCTTCAACCTGTGACAATACTGTGCTAAATTCCTCAATTGTCAAATGTGCATTACCAATAACACTAAGTAAGTGATACTTGCAGGATTTGACTCCAGCTTCCCACAGTCCACCAAAATGAGGTGCGTATGGGGGGATGAATGAGAACTTAATTAATTGTGTAGTTGCGTATTCAATAATATCATCAGAGCAAGTTGACAAAAATTTTGCAAATTCGTTTGCAACGCCTACAAAGTTTCTACCGTTATCTGAGAAAATTTGATCAGGTTTACCGCGACGTGAGATGAATCTCTTTAATGCGAGAAGGTAGGCGTCCGAAGATAAGTCACTAACCAGTTCTAAATGCACGGCGCGAGTTACAAAGCAGACGAATAGACAAACATAACCCTTGACCAACCTTGAGCCTCTACCTCTGCGGTTTAATGTGAACACTGGCCCTGCATAGTCTACGCCACAATTTATAAAAGGAAAACTCGGAGTGATTCTTTCTTGCCATCATGGGTGACAAAGTTTTACCCCTCAATCGCTTACAAATAATGCAGTTGTGTACAGTTAGCCTAGCAAGATCCCTACCTCCAACTGGCCAATAATGTTCGCGTATATTGTACATAGCGCCTGCGGCGCGGCATGCTGCAAATGCTTATGTTCGTCCCGAAAAAGCACCAATGTAAACCAGTGTTTAGACGACAACAACATTGGATGCTTCTTATCATAAGTAAAATCTGCTGAATTTTCCATCCTACCGCCTACGCGTACGATTTGCTCATCATCCATAAATAAATTTAATTTTATCAATTTGTGAGTAGTTTTTAGATGTCCGTTGTTCAATAGCATTTTGTATTCCTCTGGAAACGATTCTTGCTGCGAAAACCTTATAAGATGTAAGTTTGACAATCGCAACTCCTCAACAGTGAGTGGCCCGCGGCGGCCGTGATATCTATTACGCGTGTTATGTACAAAACGCAGGACATACGCTAGCATATATTTCATCCGAGTATATTGTGAAAATCTTTGAAAAGGAAAAATAGAAATCTCTGTGTTAGCCAAAAAGGTGCAGTTTACCTTTAGTTCAGGTAAATCTTGTTTACTATAATTATTTTCACGGTTGGTTCCGTACTCAATTTCAGAACTATGAAGAAATGACGGTCCCTCCCACCATAATGAGGCTGATTTAAGTTTGTCTAAATACAGCCTAAATCAGCGGGGTTGTTGCCTCCACTTACATGATACCAGGGTACATCCTTAACAATTTCATGGATTTCTAAAACTCTATTCCTCACAAATGTTTTTAGCAAGTTAGGAGCCATGCGTAACCAACCCAGCACAATAGTGGAGTCGGTCCAAAAAACTACGTTGTTAAAATCAACAGAGTAAAGGGCTTCACGTACTCTTTTAAACAGTTTTGCACCCAATAACGCCGCGCATAATTCTAACTTTGGGATACTAATTGACTTTAAGGGTGCAACCTTTGCCTTTGAGCAGTAAAGCTGAACAGATACAGAAGAATCAATGTTAATAGTGCGAATATAAATGCATGCTCCATACGCAGACTCCGAGGCATCACAAAAAATATGTAACTCTCGACCTACGGGTTTCATTCCCTGTACGTACCGAGGTATGCGTATGTCACCAAGAACATGCAAAGAAGAGGAAAATCGTTCCCAAACTTCTTTGACATCCCCAGGGACTTCTTCATCCCAACCCTTTTTTTATTAACCAAAGTTTTTGCAACAGAATTTTACTTAAAATTACAAATGGACTTAATAATCCTAACGGATCAAAGATTTGTGACATCATTGACATAATATAACGCTTTGTGATAGTTTGAGAACTATCTCTTTTAAATGCTGTGTGTTAAAATAAAATTGATCCGTAGTATGAAACCAGCCTAAACCTAAAGTTTTCGAATGTATATTCTCACCCAAAGACAAATCTTTAGATGTTTCATGCTGCATTTCGTTTGAATCGAAATTAAACTTCCATTTCCTAAGTGGAAAGCAACCAGTAAGTAAAGTTTTTTCTACTGCTTGACAAGTTTGCAACAAAGATTCCTTACTCTCAGAAGTTGTAATCATATCGTCTACATAATAATCCTCGCTAATAACTCTCATGACGTCAGAATTCGTGCTTTCAGCAGCCAACTGCTTTAAACATCTACAACTCAAAAACGGCGCGGAAGCGGTTCCGTAGGTAATCGTGTTTAGCCTATAAATGCTTAATTGCTCTGACGGATCGTCACGCCATAAGATCAATTGCAAATCACGTTGATCTTCGTGAATAAGACACTGTCGGTACATTTTTTCTATGTTCGCACAAGCTGTGTACCTATTAAATCTAAACCTAATGAGAATAGCCATGAGGTCGCCTTGTATGGCCGGGCCCACCATTTGTAAGTCATTTAACGAAACGCCGTTGCTCGTACTGGCACTTGCATCAAATACCACTCGCAATTTAGTCGTAGTACTGTGCTCACGAAAAACACCGTGATGTGGCAAAAAATAATGTTGTTTCCCGTACTGATCAACACGACTCATATGACCCAAACGTATATATTCATGCATAAAGTCTGTATAAAGTTTTTTATAATAGGGATGACGCTGAAGCCTTTTTTTCTAGCGCATAAAACCGGTGCACAGCCTGTGAATAACTTTCGCCTAATGTATCTGTATTTTTATTAAAAGGTATACGAACACAAAATCGTCCGTCACTATTTCGCGTAGTTGTAGTGACGAAATGTTCCTCACACGCGCGTTCCTCGTCTGTGCACGTATCCCGAGCTACAGTTACTTCCTCGAGCTCCCAAAACTGACGTAGCAAGGATTCGACTGATTGAGAGAAGTTGCATTGAATGTTATCGCAAAAGCGTACAAATAGGTCCTGACACTACCCACCCGAGTTTAGTATCTAATAAGAAAGGCCCGCTTAATAACTTTAATTTATTGTTATTATTTAATAAATCCCAAAATTTATCTGCGCCGATTAGAATGTCTATCTTGTGGGATTCATAAAATTTCGGGTCCGCTAGTTGAACATCGTCGGGAATGTCGAAATAAGAAGATTGGAGTGTTATAGCCGGTAACGAAGGTGTGATTACCGGAAGAACATAACACTGCAAATGCGTAGAATACGGGTTAGTGCGCGATTTAATCTCGATGTTACATGTTTGAGTTGAATTTGTGACCTAGTTACCAACACCTCGTATTTGTTGAGTGGACTGTATTACTGGCGCATTAAGTGAATCGCATAATTGTTTAGTAATGAAACAACGTTCGTTCCCGCTATCAAGGAGCGCGCGGGCAACATGAGTATTATTATAAGGATCGGCTATCTCAACTAACGCAGTAGACAGCAAAACAACATTGGCCGCTATTGTTTGTGCATCAGGTAAATGTGCTTTATTCGCATGTATGATTGAAACCTGTTCTGATAAGGACGCGGCAGGCGACCGCGGGACGGAGTGCGTGGGGAAAGAGGGCTTACGCCCGGAGTGAGCGAGCGGCGCAGGCGCAGGATCCTCAGTGCGGTGCAATGCCTGAACTGCGTCGGAATTGTTATTTACATTGTAGGATACGGATGATATGTTACTTTCATTATGAATTAGCGAATTGTGTTTTTCGTTACATTTTCTACAGGGACCAAAACGGCAATAATCGGCAGTGTGACCAGTGCGCAAACAATTAACACACAGTTTCATATCGCTAACAAATTTTATTTTCTTATCGTAATCGTAATTTAGAAACTTTATGCATGAATATAGTGGATGGTTCGCCTTGCATAACAAATAAGTTTTCCCAGTGACATCTCGTGAATAGCGTTCCGGTGGCTTACTGGCAGAAACATTACAGTGAACTTTTGATTGACTATGTTGTTGTGGGTAGTGTTTTTTATTTTCAAAATTTGCCTTGTTATGTGATAACTGTAACGTTTCTAGCATGTCAGCCCGGTCATTAAGGAAACCAATTAAATTATCACCTTAAGCTGTGCCATGTGCTTATTATTAGCAGATAATGCGGTGCCTTTGTATTGTTCCCATTCGCGTTCAGTGGTTGGGTCTAATT